TAGAAGAATAAGAGTTTTTGAAGCACTTAGGAACAGTCACAGAAAAAAGATGAGACTTAATTGAATGGCGAGTAACACGAGAATGAAATTTTGTAGATGGCATAAGGGACGCTAGCTCTTTAGAGCAGTGCCCATTATAGTATTTGTAGAAAAGAGAAAGAGAAGCAACATCACGACGATGTGACAAAGGTTGGAGATTGGCTGCCAGAGCAGGTCCAACTATGTTTACAATGCCTTTTTGCACCTTGTCTAAAAGAGAAAGAGCATCATTAGAAGATCCGCCCCAGATGTGGCAACAGTATTCCATACAGAGACGGATTTGAGATTTATAGGGATAGAGAATAGAATCTGGAGTAAGAAAGTGTCGAGCTCGATAAAGAGATGCAACCTTAGCAGATGCTAATTTTGCAATGGATTTGATATACGGTTTAAAAGAAAGATCAGAAGTAAGAGTTAATCCTAGAAGATGAATGGTAGATGACTCATCTAGTACATTACCATTCATAAATATAGGAAGATCTAAATTATTACGATAACGATTGGCCGAATAAAATTGAGTTTTAGTTACGAATAAAATTGAGGTTTAGTTACACAAAATAGCAATGACATAATAATAAATATAAAAAACTGTTTTAGTAAAAAAATACCAATAAAAGAATATAATAAAACAACTATTTAATGGTGTGACCAAAGAACAAAGTTATTCTTACCTTAATGGCGATGAATTCAATTTTATTACCTAAACTGTTGGCTAATGATTAATAAAATAAATTTCAATTCATGAAAATTTACTAAATTAAAACCATATTTCAACAGTAGTCAAATTAAACATAAAAAATAAAGTAGAGCAGAACCTTGTCGTCGAACTAAAACAAATAGACAAAAAAAAAAATTATTAAATAAAGAAATACATTTCAATTTGCATAAAACAAATAATTTTTAAATAAAAATATAAAAAAATCAATACAACTTTTTGTAGAACATATGAAATAGCAAACATAGAACTTAAAAACATATATACATACCAAAAAACTAATATGTGTTAGTTTGGAAAAAAATCAAATACCAATATAACATCACAATATCTTTAAATGAGGCTAAAATAATATTGATATGTTGAACTAACAACTTTACTAAGTAAGCATAACACTTTTATTCTATGTTCCTATAGGAAAACAAAAGTCTTACAAGTCAAATATCAAAAGCTTTAAAAATTTCCAATTACAGTAAAATATAAAAATAAATTATATCATTCAATACCAGATTCAAACATTTTGTATTGCATGATTTACTTAGGGGGATGTGATGATTCAGACATTATACTTGTAAATCATTTTTACATAATTTTATAACTTATTGATATATAGTTGGATAATTCCGATTACTATCACTTCATGCCATTATCACACCGTCTTACTTTAAACGATTAACTAAGGGGAGGTAATAATTTTGAAACTTAAAGTTGTATTTTTTTAAAGTATTTTTAATTAAATATATAACTAAAAGGTTATAGTTGTTCACTATTTATTGCATCACTCAAAACCATTACCACACCATCTTTTATTAAATGATTAGCTAGGAAAAAGGAAATAATTCAGAGGCAAGTTTAGTAATTTACTCAGGGAGAGGGTATAATTCAGACAGATATTTGTAAATTAATTTTACATTATTATATAACTAATTTATTCAGTTTAAACAGAAATTATACAACTATCAACTAATTATTAATTATTTCATAGTTGTAGAATTTTAATCATTATACTGTAATAAAGATCAGACTGTCTTACATTGAGCGATTTATAAAGGAGAGGTATTAATTCAGATAGATATAATTTATATCTATCTAAATTTTACTTTTACATATACTGTTATATAATAAAAGTATTTGTAAAATAGTTTCATGCAAATAAATAACTAATTAGTATATAGTTGTTTATTTTCTATCATTACGACACTTTCTTATATCGTCTTTCTTATATTACTTTTATGTAAACTTTATTTCTAAAATTCTTGTCATCTAAACGTTTTTTTCTCTTTGTTTATGTTTACAAAAGTAGTACGGACGTTTTAGGTACACTTCTAACAGTTATAACCCGAAAGCGCAATCTCGTTTTGAGTTTTTCATAGAGGGATGGAATAATTCAGGCGGTGGGAATAATCTACTACAGTATTCATAATAAACTAGTCCTTTTTTTCCTCTGTCAGTGTTTACACATAAATGTGGTTCTATCTCTTCTAGAAAACAAATTCACAAAGAAATGAAATCAAAGTTAAAATTAAAACCTTCTATGCAAAAAAGTTGAATAATAAATAAACAAAGAAAAAAAAAATTCATTAACACAATTAATTCATACTTGCGTGCATTACCATTAGGACCGAAATAATATTAGCTTCTAAAGATATAACACTAAACTTACCTTTTTAGCACCAGACTGACAAGGTGGGGCAAAAAGAAAACTGAATATCCTGAAACAATTAATAAACTTTATAATAAATAAAATACTTAAAACTAATAAACCTATATATAAGTATTCCGTAACTTCAAATGACTATAAAGGTGGTTTTCCAATAGTGAATAAACAATATGATAAAGTTGAGCTTTAACTTAAAGTGTAAATTGCTAACTGAAAAACTTACCTTCTGCCAGTCAGAAAATGTTCACACTATCACATAAAGTCATTCAGAAAACATTACACTATAACATGATGAGTCACTAAAAACGAACAAAAAATAAATTTTTAAATACAATGTCACAAAATAAACCATCTTATACTGACTGATTTACATGAGGGAGTTGATAATTCAGGCGCAGGTTTAGTGATTTTCTAAAGAGGAGGTGATAATTCAGACAGATATAAAAATATTTGTAGAGTATTTTCATGTAAATATATGACTAATTATTGACCGTTGTAAAATTTCTATCTTTCTCACTAAATAAAATAATCACACCGTCTTATATTGGCTGATTTACAAGGGGGAGGCAATAATTCAGGTGAAAGTTTTGTGATTTCCAAAGGGGGAGGTGATAATTCAGACAGATATAAAGGTTTTGAGCATTTTCAAGTAAAAAAGTGACTAATTAATTTACAGATGCACAATTTCTATCATTATCAAACAATACCAATATCATATTGTCTCATACCAAGTTATTTACTAAGTCTTAGCAAGCCTGAGTCTAAGGGGGAGGTAATAATTTAATATTTTTATGCAAGTATAATAATTATAAGTATAATAAGTAAACTAGTTATATTACATTTGTATAATATCTATTACTATCAATTTTTTTTTTTATAACCTTCCTTATATTACCTTTCAAAAAAATGGAATTGGAACATCACAAAAGACCAAGTAACTTTATTTCTCCTCGAAGCGTCATTTTCGTTGTTTATGTTTATGTTAATATATATATATATATATATATATATATATATATATATATATATATATATATATATATATATATATATATATATATATATATATATATATATATATATATATATATATATATATATATATATATATATATATATATATATATATATATATATATACATATCATATATATATTTTATATATATATATATTATATATATAAATATAGTATATTTTAGTCAATAAAAATAAAAACAATAACAAACTATTCCTCTTACCAATAGTTCTTTGTAAGTTTCCATGACATTAAATACGAGGCAAATACAAATTTATATGTACAATTTATATATATATCTTATATTTGGTTATTATATATTTTATATTTTACAAAAAATGTAAATATAAGTTACCACGAGGGAAAAAATTTAAAATGATGTTACGCGCATGCGTACTTAAACTGCCGGACATGTAGGTTTTACATTTTTACTAGCCGGCTGCCGGGCATGCAGACACTTTGTTTTTTTTTATGAACCATTTACAGTTTTACTGAAAATTTTAGTGTAACTTTTATTGCTGCATGGTAATTTTAAACACCTACATAGTTTACTTTTTCATAAAGAAATATTTGGTTTGTAATATTTTAGTAAAATCGTGTTAAATATGTTAAGCGAGAAAAATATCGATTTTAAGTTGTTAAAAATTAGGTAAGACCTTCGGTTTGTAGTACATTACTACATGAATTAGTTGTGTGACTTTATTTAATTAGACTAATGTTATTATTTTATATATATATGTATATATATATATTGTATTAAAATGTTAATACAATTATTTTAGTTACGTTAACAACATTATTATGAAGTTATAAAAATTATAACATAATAACATGAATTATATAAAATAATAACATTTATATTATTTATTGAAGTAGCTTCTATTATTTCAGATAGTAAGCTGTTCCACGCATTTACAACTCGATTTTGGAAAAAATGATACCTGAAGGTATTTCTGCTAAAAGGCTTCCTCATTTTGAATTTGTGTTGTCGCAGACATGGACCCTCCTCCAATGCATTTCCACAATCGTTAGCAACCCAATTTATTATATCGTGGCCATGCTGAATTTTATATTGTTGAATCAGATCTCCACGTAGTCTATGTTCTTCCAGTGACGTTAATTGCATAATATTCAACCTAGCCTCAAATGATAATTTCCTAATTGTAGGTGCTAGTTTGGTTGCTCTTTTTTGGATTTTCTCAATCTTGTCAATGTCTTGTTTTAAAAATGGAGACCATGCCTGGACCGCAAACTCAAGATGTGGACCTATGAACGTTGTATAGAGCATTTTTACCATGTTTACATCTAAATATTTAAAGCTTCTCTTTATGGTACCTAACATTCTGTTTGCTTTGCTGGTTGCTGAATCAACCAGCAAAGCAAACAGAATGTTAGGTACCATATATTTATATCATTTTGAAGGCTTATTGAATCATTAGGATTTTTTATAATATTTATTATTTTACTATCATCAGCGTAAAGTTTAATAGGGTTTTTGACTTGATCTGGCAAATCGTTAATAAAAATCAAAAACAGCAGTGGTCTTAAAACTGACCCCTGTGGTACACCACTAATAACTAATACCAGTTATTAGTGGTACACCACTAATAACTGGTAGCCAATCTGAGACAGTGTCGCCAAAGACCACTCTCTGTTTTCTGTTAGTTAAAAGGTTCTCTATCCAACCCAGGTAATTTCTCACAATACCATATGATTGAAGTTTAGTGATTAAACGCGAGTGTGGTACTTTATAAAAAGCCTTTTCAAAGTCTAGATACAACATATCAACTGATTGGCCATTTTCTAGTGCATCTGTTATGATATCAAGAGTTTCCAATAGGTTTATTGTGCAGCTTTTATTTTTTCTGAACCCATGCATTTCATTTAATAAGCTGCTATTTATTAGATAATCCATAATTTTATCTCTAATGAGTGATTCCAAAACTTAACATGGGATAGAAGAATTGTGACATTTATTTAAAACATATGGGGTTATCCCATCTACTCCGATAGCTTTGTAAACATCTAATTTTTAAAATTTTTTTTTAATAGTATGGCAAGTTATTTTATTATTTATATCTACTTCTAGAATAATTTCAGTCTTCTGCAGTATATTTGGTATGTTATGTTTATCTTCGTTAACACAAACTGAATTGAAACTATTGTTTAAAATATTTGCTATAGATTCTCTATTTGTTACAATGTTATTATATTCATTAGACATTGAAACCTCCTTTAACTTTTTTGTTACAATTTACATAACTATAAAATAACTTGGGATTTCTTTTTAATGTTTCACTGATTTTTTTTTCATATTCAATACGTTTTAACCTCACCATGTTTTTAACTAATTTACTTTGTATTTTGTATTGCTGAACCAAAATGGGTAATTTGGATTTATTTGATATTAATTTGTTCCATAAGGTTGTTATATGTCTGATTTCAGTCTTAATTTGTTTGTCAATATATGGTTTTAAAGCTATGTGTTTATGCACTTTTTTAGGTATATAACTGTCAGATAATTCTTGATATTTATTTACAAAAATTTTGTAGCATTCATCAACGTTTTTATTAGAGAATATATGTGACCATCTTATACTATGGAATGAATTTGTAATTTCTTGACTTTGATTTCCCATAGGAAGATTTTGATGTTGTTGGTTTTTTTAAGATGTAATTCCAATACAATATCTGATGTGCATTATTGAAATTGCTTAACTGAGGATTATAGCCTATGATCGAAATACGCTCTGGTGCATCGGTTAAAATCACATCTAAGGTATTGCCTTCTGACATTGTCCCTGAATTAAAGGTTGGTTTTGTGACGTTTTGAGTCAAAAAGTTATCATTTAAATTGTCTAAAAAAATTTGTACTTGTCTATCATTATTTAACACCGTTTGGATATTCTCATCATTCTCATTCCATTTTATATTTGGGTAATTTAGGTCTTCGGCTAAGAGTAGACCTAAATATTTGTTGCAATCAACACTTTTTTTAGCTATATTTATTATTTTACTTATTTTTTGATTTGTCAATTCTGTAGCATCTGGTGGACGATATATGCTACCAATTAAGATATTCTCATTTTCTGTTTTAATGACACACCAGACTTGTTCAACTGTCATTTCTTCAGATGCTAGGTCATATGGAGTATAAGCAATGTATTTATTTTTAACATAAATAGCTACACCTCCGCCATGAGATTTGGTTGAATTAGATTTAGATCGATTGTTGTAAAAAACATTATACCCGCTTACATTTATGGCACTTGATGAGTTAAACCAAGTTTCAGTTACAATAAATATGTCAGGATTATACACTGCTATTTGTAACAAAAACAAATCGAAGTTATTGTTAAGTGAAGTCGCATTTGTATATCTACAACATAGATGGTATTTGGGTATTGATTTGCATAATAATACTTCTGATTTAACATAATTAGATACAGGATTATGTGTAGAAAGGACAGCCATTACTGCAGGTCAATACAAATTAATTGAGGATTGCTATTGCTTTGGTTTTTTTATGAGTTTCACAATTTTAAAATTCCTTATAGTGTAGTAGTATTCATCTTTTTGATTTAGGCTAGCATTTAACAATTTAACTTCACTACGTAGCTGTTTAATGAGATCTCTTTCAGATTCTGTCATATCTGAGTTAAAATAGATTTAATTTATCTTGTTTCTGTTAATGTATGCAGCTTTTAATACACTTATTTTGCCTGACGCATTGTCTAACTCAATGATAACTGGTGGTATTTTTGATGTGTCTCTTGTTTTGAGTCGAATGACTTTTTTTATTTTATCCTTGTCTGCATTTATTGTGTCAAAAATATCATTTACCATATCTTCATCACATTTTGTCTTGTTAATGTTTATAATTATGATTTGCTAACTTAACACCAAAAATAATAATATTATTTTTTCTTTTATTACGTTCTTTTTCCTCATGTAGAACCGTGTTTATAATATCATTTTGGCCTTGATTTGTTTTAACTTTTCTTTTTAGGACTTCACTCCAATTATTTAAATCTTTTGATTTATCTTGGTCTAATTTATTTTCTAATTCATTTACCCTTCCTTCAAGATTTTTTATCAAAACATCTTTCTCGTCTAGTTTTTTTTCCAATTGCTTTATTTTTTCTTGCATTTCTTGTAGTAACATATTTATGTCTAAATTTTTTGGTGGCATTTTAAGAGTGAAACCAAACCAAATCAACTCTCGTCAATACACCAACATCAATTTCTCTGATAAGAGGGCTACCACCCTGAAACAGTGGGTTACCTCTGGGTCGCTAACTTGTAACTTGTAAGCACAGTGTTGGGCAAAAATATATATATTTTTTTTTCCAAAAAGATTTTTTTTTTTTTTCCTTTAGTCTAAAAAAAATGTGTAAAATATAGGTTTAAATAAAATCACATAACATTACCAGTTAACTGGTAATCTGTTAACATAACACAACTTATGCGGTAGTGGTGTATTGGTAGAGCGCTCGCTTCATAAACGAGTGGTTCTGAGTTCGATCTCCACCACGTCCCTGGTAGTACCGCGCTCAACTCGTTTCTCCGCGCAGCGGCCTTTTTTGTCAAGGTTCGTGTTTCGGATTTATAGAGTTGAGAGAGGGCTATAGCCACAAATAAGTAGCCTCCTCGTCTGTAGTGGCCTTCTCGGCCTTAAGGAGGTGAATTTAAAAAAAAAATTAAAAAAAAAAAGTAATGTTGTTAACATAACTGTAAATAATATTGTTAACGTTAAACAATAATGTTAATGACATTAACATCATTGTTTAAGGTTAACAATATTCCATTTTGTATAAAAAATGTTATCACAACATTAATAATGTTGTTAAAGTTAATTTTTTTATGTTATAACAAAATAGAAAATATTTAATACATAAATATTATTAAATAAATATGATAATAGTGTTATTTTAGTTAAAATAGCAGCATTTTAGTTATATTAACAACAACTATTTTAGTTATCATATGTTAACAACTAGATATATATGTATACCATAAAGGTATACTTTACATTTTGTACATATCTTTTTTTTGCTGAGATAACTAATAAAAATCATTATTACATGATATATCATTCAATAATGATTTTTATTAGTTATGATTATGATTTTTAGTCATGTTGCATGTTGAAATAATGTATTAAATAATTTTATCATACATATGAAAGCACTCTAATAAAATTATATTAATATATGCAATAAATGCACAATGGCAATTATGGTTTATAGTGCTATAATATGTATATATTGTGTATATATATATATATATATATATATATATATATATATATATATATATATATATATATATATATATATATATATATTTTTTTTTTCTGATAAAAGTTATAAAAATGTTTATTTGCTATATGTGGTACTTTTACGAAACTATTGATTTTTTTTCAAAATCATCTACAACGGCATAATAGTATTGGCGTCATAATATAATTGTTTATCCAAATAAATGTTTACAGAATGGCTGTAAATGTACCTGCACAGCTTATATGTCGCTAATTAGACATGTAAAATGACATGTAAAATACCATAATATTGATAATGATTTCTTTGATAAAAATCCTGAGCCAAAATATATAGTAATCCATTAAATGATAATCGTAACGATTTATTGCCTAATTTTTCAGAATATTCATTACCTAGTTTCCCAGAGAATTCTACTTATCAAGTTTACACTTATCCTGAAAAAACAATAGAATATATTGATCCTTTGTTAGTTTCTAGATTGTGAACAAGCAGCAGTGTTCCTTATTACATTATGCCTGAAGTAATTGTTTCTGTTAACAGTAATTTCATAATCATTAGTTTCCTATATTGCAGCGCTCAAATAGTTTTTCAAAGCTTGCCAATCAAATGTAATTATTTCACAAAAATAGGTTTTCCTTGAATTTTTTGAAATTTCTTCAAACATTGCTGATCATTGATTGGCTGTTATTTCGAGCGATGATACATGTTGTTGTTTTTTATAAGCATAACGTTTATAAGCATATGGAGGCTCAGATTTGGAAAAAAAATAAGCATATGTAAGCATATTCCTGAGCCTCGATAAACCATTTAAAAGATTCAAATTTTATTTAATTAAAAATTTTAAATATATATATTTCTAAATTTAAGCCTACAAAAACAACAAAAATCGAAGTTTATGTTTTGCAGTGCAACGACTTTATGAAGTAAAGAAGTCATTGTAATGCAAAATCTAAACCTCAATACTTGACCAGAATAACATAAAGTTTAAGAGTCGCTCTGCAGTGTTTTATTTCTCTCTCTCTTTTTTTCTTTCTCTCTCTTTTTTTTCTTTCTCTCTCTCTTTTTTTTCTTTCTCTCTCTCTTTTTTTCTTTCTCTCTCTCTTTTTTTTCTTTCTCGCTCTTAATGTGTAGTTTATTTAATACCATATTCAAAATGTTTATTTTATTTCTAAGTCTTATTTTCAGATACTGTTAAAAATAGTAATAAAACTTACGAGTATGTTCCCAAGGGTCAAGGTGCAACACAAAATACATGGATCTCTTAACCGGGCTCAGGATTAAAAAAAAAGCAATGTTTCCTTCAAATTATGTTTCGGCCAGAAGGAGAGCAACCAAAGCTAGCCCTCATTTTTAGAGGTCAAGGAAAACGCATTTCAAAACACGAAAAGTTAGCATGACACAAAGATATTCACGTTTACTTGCAACAAAATGCTTGGTTAGACTGAAACGTTTGTAAGCACTGGTGTGATAAAATACTCCTTCCATTTGTCAGAGAATTTGAAGGAACAGATGCAGGAGGATTTTAAAGATGCTGTGGCTGCTGCTAAAAGACTTCTCTGGTACGGTCTACCAAGTGCCAGTGACCTTTGGCAACCAGTTGATGCCGGATATGCTGCAACTCTGAAAAGGCTTA